GAGTGGGAGGCGGATAGAAGAGGGATAGAGGAGAGGAAACAAACAGGTCGAAGAGGCGGGGATGGGGCCAGGAAAGGTGAGTGTAGGTAGGGAGTTAGGAAGGGGATAGGTCAGTCCAGGGAGGACGGACAGGTCAAGGGGGTGGGATGAGGTTGGTCGGTAGGAGATGGAGGTGCGGCTTGGGGTGGGAGGAGGGGATAGGCAGGAGGAAGAACAGGTTAGGGAGGCAGGGACGAGTTGGACTGGTTTTGGGATGCGGTGGGGGGAGGGGAGATTTTGAAACTTGTGAAATCCACATTGATACCATTGGGCTGCAGGGTTCCCAAGCGGAATATGAGTTGCTGTTCCTGCAACCTTCGGGTGGCATCGTTGTGGCACTGCAGGAGGCCCAGGATGGTATGGCAGTTTTGGTCAAAGATAGTGCCTTCTTCCTTGAACAAGATGAAGTTCCTGAACTAGAATCTATACAGTTGGAGGTGAGAAACAGGAAGGGAGTAGTAACCTTGTTGGGTACTGATTTCCAAATGGAGAAAATGTAAAGGAGAACATTTTTAGTTAGTGTACAGCAATCTGCAGGACAAGTAGGATCGTAATAGTTGGATGATATCAATTACCCAAGGGTAGATTGGGAAAAAGGTAGACCGTAGGGCACAAGAGGAGAGAAAGTCCTGCAATATATGCAGGAGAACTTGCTGAAACAGTACATTTCCAGTACTACTAGGATGGAACAGTACTGGATCCGCTTCTAGGAAATGAAGCGGACCAAGTGGAGAATGTCAGAGTGGCGGAGCATTTGGGAAATAGTGATAATAAGTTTCAACATTAAGTCGGAAAAAAAAAAAATCAGTTAGCGACTAAGATGCCAGACCAAAAAAGGGCAATTTTAGGGATTAGAAAATTGAACTGGAGGAGGTTGATTTTGATGGATAAAACAATTGATGAAAAATGGGAGAATTTCAAAGAGATGAATAGGTACACGCTAGTATATACTCATGAGAAAATAAGGAAGTGAAAGGAAGCATGTGATTCATTCCAGAATAATAATAGCAATAGAAATCAGGAAGAGAACCTAAGCTGGAATAAGGAAGGCTAAAAGGAAGTATGAGGAAAGGATAGCAGGCTGCGCTAAAACAATGAGTAAAATGTTCTTCAAACATACTAACATTAAAACATCAGAGAAGCACAGAGTGGGGCCCATAAGGAACAAGCGGGGGAAGCTGCTCACTGAATACAGGGATTGGCAGAAGTACTAATTGAAAACTTTGCTTCTGTCTTTACCAAATTAGAAAATGACAACAACAGCCCTTTTGAGAATGTGGGTGTTCAGCAGTATGGTGATCGAAAAAGAGGTGCTAAAAAGACTGGCAGCACTCCAAGGTAGATAAGTTGTCAGGCCCAGATGGAATGCATCCTAGATTACTAAGAGGGGTAAGGGATCAAATTGCAGAGCCATTGACAGAACTTTTCCTGGCATTTCAGAACATAGGATTAAATCAAAGGGACTAGAGGATAGCAAATGTGACACTGTTGTTTCAGAAAGAGGCAAAGGATAACTCATGAAACTATAGACTTGCCAGTTTGACATCACTAATGGGAAAACTGATGAAGCTGATGGAGAATACAATTTGGGCTAAGGTTAATATACATTTAAGTTAATAATGGACAGTCAACATAGCTTTGTTAAGGACAGGTCATGTCTGACAAATTTGACTTTCAAAAAGCATTTGATACGGTGCCACAGGGCAGGTTGGTTAAAAAATTAGAAATGTTTGAGATTGATGGGTCCTTGGCAACATGAATTGGAAGTTGGCTAAAAAGGGAATAGAGGGCATATATAGATAGGCATTTCTCAGATTGGAGACAAGTTGAAAGTCACGTGCCCAGGAATGGGTTAGGACCCTTCCTTTTTCTGATTTGTATAAATGATTTGGATTTCTCCCTTATCCCGGGGGCATGGTGAAGGAAGGAAGAAACAAAACGCATTTCGTCTCTGCTGAATCACTCCTGTACACGCTTCCAATCTAACAGACCAGTAACTTGAACATGGCACTGAAATTGACATAGCAAATTCCTCCAATCCATATTGCATTGCAACATTAATGCCCTGCATCTCTACAGGTCAGGGCTTCCCAAGCCATGGGTCACTGCCTCAAAGGATTTGGCAGCTGAAACTTTGAGGTTGTGAACTCAGGGCTAGTAATGGCTGCTTCGGAGCTCTGAGTGTTAAAAGCTGCATGCATCCCCTTAAACCACTGGAGTATTGTTAAAAAACAATGGTGATCTAACTGGCCAAATCTAGGGGCCTGAATACTGTCCTAAAAAAAACTAATTGAAAGATTATTTTTAAAAAGAATTTGAATAAAAGAATCTTTCCCCCATACTGCTGATCTCAATGATCCTTAACCCCACTTTCCCCACCTTTGCCGTGAGGTCTACCTCCTAACTGGTCTCAAAAATCTAACCACCCTCTACCCACAATTCCGTTCTCACTGGTCCATGGTCTCAGCAGCTTGCAATCACCGAAATGGGGTCTCAATGGGAAAAAGTTTGAGAAGCACTGTTCTAGGGGTAATCAATCTTAGCACCGGCTTTTGTGATAAAATCTGAGAGCACCAAAAATATTCCAATTTCTCAAACTAAAATACATCTCACCGAATGGTCTGATCAAAGGAGGCACTGAGAATCTGACTACTGTCTTTGGAGAAGCTGAGGCAGGTTACTCCCTTACTGTGAGCACGTTCAAATCGGCGTAGGCACTGACCGCTCTGAATCTTCCACACCTGTGGGGCAACCAACAAAGACCCTTATTCTTTTGAACAATTTTAAATTTGCAATACAAAAATCCTTTAATTGAAAACAATCCTTTTTGTTCTTATTTAAAAGGAAATGAGTGCTGCTGACCCAAACTCTGCTGCCTACACGATGAGAGGGAACTCAGGTTAGGGGTAGTGAAATCAGCACTACTGATATACAAAACTCAGCAAGCATGTGAGCACCTTACAATAAGAGACAAAGAAGAAAAGATGCAATCGTCCAGGAGACACAGACAAGCTTTAGTAGCTTTTAAGAAGAATGATGTCAAGGGTTTTAAAGAATCTTTAGAGACAGGACAAACCCCTGCAGGATCTGGGCTGCTTCTGATTTTTAATTTTGTTTTCTTTACAGGAAAAGACTAGAAAGGGAGATGTGGTAACATAGGTCAGAAAATATTTCATTGTTATCAGAAATGAGCATTTTAAACATACAAACATACGAATTAAGAACAGGAAAAGGCTATAAGGCCCCTTGAGCCTGCTCCATCATTTGACAAGATCATGACTGAGCTGATTGTGGGCTGAACTTCATTTCCTTGCATAATCCTTAAACAAGATGTCTGCCATAAAAACCTAGTTGAATTAAGCAATTTAATTTATATAAAGATGACCATTTAGAATCAGCTATTTGAATAAAGATGTACAAGCTATATTTAATCCCAACAAAACCCAACATATAACAGCATTAATATAAGCACCATAGGTTGGACATATACATCACGTTTCCTCATTTTATAACCTTATTGAAGATGAACATATTATAGTGATTACACAGCATACAGACAAGTAGAAACAAGTCAGCTCAAATACTCTGTGCCAACCTTCATGTCCGTGAGCCTGATCTCACCTCTCTTTATATCACCGTCTATTGTCTTAACCCATGTTAATAAGTTATACATCATCTCAAATACACTATGACTCCGAGGTCCACATTCTAATCACTTTCAACCATAAACATAAATATCATTAATGATAGTAGACCTTTTTAAAAATCTAAAACGCATACTTTTTCCTTTTTTCTTTTTTAATAACGTGTTTTTTTTTTTAAATTCATTCAGGGGATGAGCGCTTTGTTGGCTAGGCCAGTATTTGTTGTCAAGGATAATTAAGGATGGGCAAGGTGACAGTGATGAGCTGACTTCATGAACCACTGTAGCCCATTTGGAGCCGATATCCCTAAACAGCATTATGGGTATAGAGTTCCAGGATTATGATTCAGCAACAGTGAAGCAACACTGATATATTCTAAGTTAGGATGGTGTAGATAGAAAGAAAGCTTTCCCCTTGATGGAGGAATCAATGACCTGGAGCTTAGATTTAAGGTAGAGTCATATAATCATTTGGCACAGAAACAGGCCCTTCGGCCCAATTCATCCATGACAACTGGGTTTCCTAAACTGAACTAGTCCCATTTGCTTGCACTTGGCCCATTTCCCTCTAACTTTTCCTATTTGACGTACCTGTCCTAATGTCTTTTAAATGCTGTAATTGTAACTACCACTTCCTCTGGCAGCTCATTCTATATACACACCATATTCTTTGCGTAAAAGTTGCCCCTATTTAAATCTTTCCCCTCTCACCTTAAACTGCTGCCCTCTAGTTTTGGACTCCCCTATCCTGGGGAAAAGACCTTGGCTATTCACCTTACTTCTGCATCTCATGATTTTATAAACCTCTAAGGTCACTCCTCAGCCTGCTCTGCTCCAGGGAAAAAAGTCCCAGCCTATCTTTGTAACTCAAACCTTCCAGTCTCAGTAACATTCTTGCAAATCTTTTTTGCACCCTTTCCAGTTTAATAACATTCTTCCTAATAGCAAGACAACCAGAATTGTCTGCAGTACTCCAAATGTGGCCTTACCAATGTCTTGCTGGTAACATGACATCCCAACTCCTGTACTCAATGCTCTGACCGATGAAGGCAAGCATGCCAAACACCTGCTTCACCACCCTGTTGACTGTGACACCACTTACAAGGAACTGCTACCTGCACTCCTAGCTCTATGTTCAACAACACTCCCCATGGCCCTACCATTAACTGTGTTAGTCCCGTCCTGGTTTATCTTTGCAAAATACGAACTTTACATTTATTTGAATTAAACTCATTCTGCCATTTCTTGGCCCATTGGTCTAGTTGATAAAGATCTTGTTGTACTCTTAGATAACTTTCTTCGCTGTCCACTACACTAATTTTGGTGCTATCTGCAAACTTAGTAACAACCCTCATCCAAATTGTTTATATAAGTTAGGAACAGCAGTGGACCCAGCACCAGTCCTTGCAGTATACTGCTGGTCACAGGCCTCCAGTATGAACAACAATCCTCTACTACCTTCTGTCTCCTACCATCAAGGCAAATTTGTATCCAGTTGGCTAGCTCTCCCTGGATCCCATGTGATCTAAACTACTAACCAGTCTACCATGCAGAACCATGTAGAAGACCTTGCTAAAATCCATGTCGTTGTCTGCCACTCTGCCTTCATGTACCTTCTTGGTCACCTCTTCAAAAAACTCAATCAAGTTTGTGAGACATGATCTTAGGGATGGCCATGCTGACCATCCCTAATCAATCTTGCCTTTCCAAATGCATGTAGATCCTGTCTCTCAGAATTCGCTCCAACAACTTACCCATCACTGATGTGAGGCTCATCTGTAGTTCACTTGCTTTTCCTTGCAGCCTTTTTAAAATAATGGCACATTACCTACCCTCGTCTTCTGGCACCTCACCAGTCACTGATATAAATGTCTCTGCTAGGGGCCCATAATTTCTTCCCTAGCTTCTTACCATGTCCTGGGATACACTTGATCATTGCCTAGGGATTTATCTACCTTTATGTGTTTTAAGACCTCCAGCAACTCTTCTGTAATGTGGACTCTTTTCATGACATCGCTATTTATTTCCCTAGCTCTCATGTCTTTTCCACAGTAAATACTTACACAAAATATTCATTTAGGATCTCAAAAATCTCCTATGGTTCCACACACAGAAAGCCTAATTAATATTTAACGGGCCCTATTCTCTCCCCAGTTACTCTGTTGCCCTTTATATACTTGTAGAATCTCTTTGGATTCTCCTTTACCCTATCTGCCAAAGCTACATCCTCTTTTTGCCTTCCTGATTTCTCTCAAGTGTACTCCCACACCCCTCTACTCCTCAAGAGATTCACTTGATCCCAGCTGTTATCAGATCTTAAAGTCCAACTCTACGCAAAATTCAGAAATAACATTAACCTTGAAGCCGATGACAACTGACTTGTTTATTCTCACCAGTCATGTTTCACTCAATTGAATGATTTAACTTCCCAAGTTGGACAGCTATTGCAGATTGTGTTAAGAAATTTTTTTTGAAAAAAGTCATCATTTTGTTCATGATTTTTGGATGGAGTTTTAAGACTTTTGTGCTCCAGCTCCTCTTATTTGAAGAAAACATTCTTTTTTCTATGCCAGGCATAAGCCTCCTTCTTTTTCTTGATCTGAGCCTCAATATCTCTAATGATCCAGTGTTCCCTACTCCTGCCAGCCTTGCCCTTCACACTAACAGGAACATGCTGGCCCTGAACTCTCATTGTCTCGCTTTTGAAAGCCTCCCAGTTGCCCCTTTACCTGCAAACAGCCTCCCCCAATCAAATGTTAGGGGTAGAAGGTTTAGAGGAAATATGAGAAAAAACGTTTTCACTCAGAGTGTGGTGGGAATCTGGAACTCACTGCAAAGCAAGGGCGGTAGAGGCAGAAATCCTTATAACATTCAACATGTATGTAGACATGCACTTGTGATGCCAAAGCATACAAGGTTATGGGCCAAGTGCTGGAAAATGGGATTAGATTAATTAGGCAGTCGGTTTGACTGAAATGAACACAATTGGCCAAAAGGCCTTCTCCTCTACTATTGATCTCTGACTCTGTAATACTATGAATGATTTGAAGGGGAAATTGTAAGGTGGTAATGTTCCAGAATTACTCAATGGAAATGACATCCAATGTGATGAAATATCGTTGTTACAAGTGAAGCGATACAGGTAATCCAAAAGGAAAAAACAACTTTGAAAGCTTTATATTTGCATGAATCTTCCTCAATTTGGCTACCCACCTTAATCTTTCCATCCTGTGCTCCTGTTGCCAACATTTCAGTATCGCGACTGAAACACATGCAAAGAACTGCATCATCCATCATCATGAAGTTATCTTGTGCTTGGTACTTTAGATCCTAGAAAGTAACATTAAAGGGGCAAAGAAAGGGATCAAGTGTCCATTACTGGTGCAATAGCCACACAAATCAACTAACCAACCTTACTGTTGCAAAACCTTATTAACAAGATAAAACAAGTCAGAGAGACCTCTACCCAGTTATATCCACCATTCCCAATGAACAGCTAATGGGAAACAGATAAACTATCAATTCGTAATACATTAATATTGACCCATTCTGTCAAATTGCACACTTCAACCATAACAAACAGGAACTGCAGTAGGCCATTAAGTCCTTCAAGCCCGATTCGCCATTCAATAAGATAGTGGCTTATCTGATATTCTTCATATCTACTTTCCTGCCCATAAAGTATTGTCCCAACCTGTTCAATCTTGAGTCATAAGACAATCCCTCCATAATGGGAATCATATTAGTGAACCTTCTCTGAACTGTCTCCAATGAACCGATAACGGTCCTTAAATAAGGGGATCAAAACTGCATCCAGTAGTCTAGATGTGGGCTCAACAGCACCATGTAAAGTTGCAGAGACTGCCTTACTGTTATATTCCAACAACCGTAAAGTAAGGGCCAACATTCCATTAGCCTTCATGATTACCTGCTGCACCTGAGTGCTAGCTTTCTGTTTTTCCATGCACAAGTACCCCTAAGTCCCTTTGTGTTGCAGCTTTCTGCAGTTTTTCTCCAAATAGTAGTTCTTTTCTTCTCCCTTCCAAAATGAACAACTTTACATTTTCCCCGCACCGTACTCCATTTCCTAACTTCTTGCCCACTTCCTTACCTAACAACTTTTCTCTGTAAACTATCTGTATACTTTTCGCGACTTGCCTTTCCACCTATTTTTGTGTCATATGCAAAATTGGCTACAGTACATTCACTTACTTCCTCCAAGTCATAAACACACACTGTAAACACCACTGATCCTTGTGGAACCCTACTGGTTATAAGCCACCAAACTGAAAAAGAATTCTTTATCCCACGTGCTCTTTCCTGTCCATGAGCCAATTCCCTATCCATGACAATATACCATCTCCAACACCATGAGCTTGTAACCTTCAATGACATGGTAACCATCTTATTATAAATATGTGTGGCAGTACCCTTTACTGACATTCCACAAATACACTGCTAGCAACCGAAAATCATAGGTCCATAAACACGAGTGGATTTTGGGAGAGACCTTGAGCTCCTTCACAAGATTAACAAGTACACCTAATCATCTAGAATTAAGTTATTTACAGATTCCATATAACTAACCACAGTGTGTTATGCTATTATGAGCAAAGCAGTTTGTAAAATCTGATCTGGGTAGATATTTTGTATACTTTTGTTAAGGAGATACTAAATTGATTGACTGATTTAGCATCAGTGGAACATTCAGATTTGTTACTAAAAGAAAATAATCTTGCTGTTGACCTTCAGAATACAAAGTCGATCTGCATTTTAAACCATTCAAAATCAAACTAAATTACATCAGGTGGAATTTAAAAATGTATCCAAATATTCATGTATACTTTCTGTCATATTTGACTATTCATTTCAAATCAAAGAAAGTTTTGCCAACATCACCTTTGTCAAAAATATCCAATTTTCCATAGCAACAGTTCTACTATTTAAAGTTCACTTGCCAAACAATCAGCATCCACTTTATGTGGTATAAATTGTCCTTTGATATTTAGTATTCTTGCGATTGTCTGGATCAGTGCAAGATGAAAAGGTTTCACTGCATGTCTCTTTTCAGCAATAAAGATGTTTAAATGTATCAATCAATCCTATATATATGTATTCATATGTGCCCGAGAATACATTTAACAATCTTCACCTGAGCCCTAAGAACACTGAATAGTCTACCTGGGAAAATCCTCTGAATTCAACAGTAGGATGACTGAACAGAACTTTGCAATTGCCAAAACACCAGAAACAACTACAAGTTCATGCTAATTAGTAACGTTGGTTTAATTTTTAAGAGTGGAGAAACTTGATCTACAATAACATGAGATAATCTCACCAAGTCACCTGCTTGTACTTACCTTTCTAATTTTGCCAGTGGTGAAGTTCCACACTTCAATAAAGCCATCCACAGAACCAGTAACAAGATACTGACCATCTGGTGAGAACCGAGCACACTCTACGTGGGACTTTTGACCAAACTGTTGGAAAAAAAAACAATATTGCTCACATCAATGCAAGTGTGCAATTTTAAAAATGCCAATGAACTGTGCTACCCATATAGCATCTAATTTTTTTCAGTTAACAGTACTTAACTCCCCCAACTTCCTTCAAATATCAAAATTACACTTAAATAAAGCCTTGAAACTCTTTGAAACACTCATTTCAGCATCATTTCTACCGTCACAGCAAATTTATGAAGCATTCTTCAAGACTTTAAAACAAAACATCAAGACAAGTTTAGTTGTACTCAGTTATTAAGCGGATGCTTCCATGAATGGACTTAGTAATGCGTTTGAGCTTCGAGTTTGGATTGATCCCATTTTGAAACAGGTGCAAGACCAGGTGTTTCACATATCAAACTAAAACTTTTACCTTGATGTGCCTGCTGAGTTGAGTTGGGAATTTCTCCTCTTCTACATCTTTCACAGCTGCTTTACCTCTAAACAAGTCAATTGTCATACCTGGAGGCAGAAGCCCCTGGTGTTGCTGCCATTTTAATGCCTGGAACAATACAAAAAAAATTAGCAAAACGGCTAACATTTTTCTCTCATATAAAATGACTTAAAATATACTATAAAGGAAAGAGAGCTGGCCATGAATCATTTCCATTCTTTAATTGTTCATTAGGTTTTCCAGTCACAACACTGATTGAAAATTTTCCATTTTAAATGTGTTACCATGGACATTATTAAAGGACCAGCTATATCAGTATTCCGTATTTGGTTTTAAATTACAAACGTGCAAGAACTAAATGACTTTTGCAGTGCAATCAATCATTCTCTGTACTCAAAACGAACAAAGAAAAAACAAAGAACAATACAGCACCGGAACAGCCCCTTCAGCCCTCCAAGCCTGCGCTGACACGTTTCGCCCTTCCATACTAAAACTGTCTTCACTTACAGGATCTATATCCCTCTATTCCCTTTCTATTTACGTATTCATCCGGGTGCTTCTTGAATACTGCTACTACTTCCACTGCCTCCTCTGGCAACATGCTCCAGGCACTCACCACCATTTGTATGAAAAACGTGCCCCGCACATGTCAAACTTTGCCCCTACCTCCCCCAACACCTTGAACCTGTGTTCCCTTGAAATTGACCCTCCACACTGGGAAACAGCCTCATACTTTCCATTCTATCCATGCCATTCACAATCTCATAAATCTGTCAGGTCACCCCTCAACCTTCCAAGTTCCAGTGAAAATAAATCCAGTCTATCTAACCTTTCTTCATAGCTAAAATCCCCCATACCAGGCAACATCCTGGCAAAACTTTTCTGTACCCTCTCCAAAGCATCCACATCCTTCTAGTATCGTGGTGACCAGAACTGTACACAATGTACCAAGTGTGGCCTAAAGTTCTATAATGCTGAGTATAAATTATAGGCTAGTTATGCTGCAATGTCCCTTCCTGAGGGCAAGCATGCCAGTAGCCTTTTTTACTACCTTATATACCTGCGCTGCCATCTTCAGTGATCTGTGGATCTGCACATCCAGATCCGTCTATATATCAATACTCCTAAGGGTTCTGCCATTCACTGTATAATTTCCACCTGGACCTGATCTTCCAAAATGCATCACCTCACACTTGCTTGGATTAACCTCCATCAGCCATTTTTCTGCCCAAGCCTCCAACTGATTTATATCCTGCTGTATCCTCTCACTAACCGCAACTCCACCAACCTTTGTATCATCTGCAAACTTACTCATTAGACCAGCCACGTTTTCCTCCAAATCATTTATGTAGACCAGAGGTCCCAGCATTGATTCCTATGGAACACCACTAGTCACAACCCATTCCGAAAAGCATCCTTCCACCGCTACCCTTTGTCTATGACTAAGCCAGTTCTGTATCCATTTTGCCAGCTCACTTCTGATACCATGTGACTTCACCTTTTGCATCAGCCTGCCATGAGGAAGCCTGTGAAAGACTTTTCTGAAGTCCATGTAGACAACATCAACTACTTTTCCCTCAATTATCTTCATCACCTCCTCAAAAAAACTTGATCAAGTTAGTGAGGCACGACCAACCCCCTCTCAAAACCACGCTGCCTATCGCTAATAAGTTCATTTACTTCTAAATGCATATAAATCTTGTCCCTGTGAATCTTTTCCAATAATTTCCCTACCACCAATGTAAGGCTCACAGGCCTGTAATTTCCTGGATTATCCCTATCCTTCTACAAAAAAATGGGACAACATTGGTTATACTCCAGTCCTCTGGGACCTCACCTGTGGCATAGGAGGATACAAAGATGTCTGTCTATGCGAAACCTAAATGCTTTTCCCTCAGAAATTTTGTTATCAGAAATATAAAAGCTAAATTACCACACATAATGCAAACCACTTACTTGTACATAACTCAGGAAAAGATGAATGTCATTTGACCCAAGCTTGTTCCACCATTCAATTAGATCAATGATTGATCTGTTTCTTAAAAGAATTACCCACCTTGGTTCTATCAACATCTATACCCTTGCCTAATAAAAATCCACTCAAACCTCCTGTGTCAAAATATCTCAAAATATGCTCAATCCATAAAGAGACCTTCTGATAAGATTTGAGGAATATTTGAATGCATGGAAGTCTCATTTTTTTTTTTTTGCGACTGCTCATTTCTGATACCAAACCCAAAGCAGAGTTGTTTCAGGATGTTTTCATTCTGAAACCAGTTTCACATCTCATCCAAGGTATGCAATGTTGGGTACAATTTTAACCACAATTTCAAGATTAAATGGTTATAAAGTCAAAGTTGCAACCATTCAGATCAAGCTGCTCTCCTTTCCCTCCCTTAGAATAATTAAGAATGATGAACAATTGATAGGCAAGTAAGAAATTTGTAATAACATGATGCAATGAGCAGAAATGGAGTTGTGTTCTATCTAAATTGAAAAACTGAATAATATGGTCATCAACTGTCCATTATACTCTATACATTTACAGCACTGGAGTAGCAATTCTACTCATGACAAAAAAGGTACAACAACAGAAGATATACTTTTTAAAGCTTTCACTATTTATCATGTAACACTTAAATAGTAGGAACATAAACAAAATGCAACTGGCATAGCAAAACAGGTACACTTACCTGACCCAACAAAGCCATGAGACGTGAAGGGGGCACTACACTGACTTCTCCTGCCAGAGCTTGAGCAATGGCTGCTCTTCGCTTCTCTTTACTGCTGCCATCTGGGTAAGCCTAAGTAGCAGCAAATGACAATGCACTGAGGCATGATAGATAGTCAAGTAGCAAAATTCCAGGTGCCAGTTTACCATACTTGGTTAAAATATGTTTCATTCACCTACCCCATAGCAGCTCTGCTACTATACAGGTGGCAAGGTGCTTCTAAGATTTTCTTCTAGAATGTATGAACACATTCAGTAGGATGCAACTGCAAGATGTTGAGCAATACATTGACATGAAGCCAAAAGAAAAGGATCTTTCTTTTAAAAGTGAGTTTTTGTGATCTAGAATGAAAGTTACATGAAAGGGTGTTGGAAACAGATTTAATAGTTATTTTCAAAAGGGAACTGGATAAATATTAAAGGGTACTAAAAAATGCAGGGCTTTGGGAAAAACTGAATAATTAGATCAATTTTTCAAATTGCTGACAGACAGACAGAATGGGCCAAATGGCCTCTGTGGGAGTGCAATCATTCTATGATACTTTTATTACAAAAATACGCACTGCAATGAAATAAGACACCAACAGATCCATGCATCCCATCAAGCTCCTTCATGAAAATACTACTGCCATACCATGGAAAAGGCAGGCCCAGGGATCAATCAGGAACTTTAATTTTCTGATGCCAATAGATTTCCGATTTGAAACATGTATATGGCATTGTAATTGGTAGCATGGAGCATCTGATGTTCACTACACTCCTTTAATATAAAATTACTTGTGGCAACAAAGTGTAGTAGTTTTCAAACAAAACCCCCTTGATGTGCACAACAGGAATAGACACAGGTTTCATGCAGCTGCATCATGACCCCATTTATTCTCACATTGGTTTTCAAATAGTTACACACTCATTGCAAATGCCAAAGCCTCAATTGTTTGAATATCCAGCACAGAAATAAAATACACTACCACTTCATATAATATTCAAAGGACACCAGCTAAACATGGATCATTAAATTATTAGGAATTTTAAACTATGCTTGCTCAGTCACCTTTATTCAGACTGAATGTTTGGCAAAGAAAATCAGTTGTGCAGTACATGGCAATGAAATCTGGAGGATACATTGTAGATTCTATTGAGAGAAATTTGAGAATTCACCAGTAAAAACAATAGAAAGTTATTAATAATCTACACTTGTAGAGGAAAAGTAGAATGCATTCAACAGTTTTCTCAACACTGTTGTCCTTGCACCTTCTAAAAGTTTGATGAGAGAAGTTCAAGTACCTCACGTGGATCAAAGTAGGATCTTGCTAATAGGTTCTCCAGATGAATATATCTCTCTGGTTGGGTCTGTTTTAACATAATCATGGGGTCAGTCTGTCGAAGCAAAGATCGAGCAGCACCCAACTCACGAAGTTCAATTAGCTCTAAAACCACCTGGGAAATGAACAAAAACATTTCAAAACTTTCAGTGTTACACTAAAGTTCATTTTCTGGATACACAGAACATTACTTTTTTTTTTAAGCCCCACAGAAAAGATCAGGGATGCACCTAGAACAGGAAATATCTGTACTCTAGAATCACTTGCCCGACATAAAACCACTTGTTAAACTCACTCACGAAATCATACATTTTAAGTCTCGAGAAAAAGAGCTATAATTTCTTGTTCAACTGAGATAGCAGACAGAAGCTCGTTTCAAGAAATCATCCGAAAGATCACTTGTCCAATAGAACATAGGAAATATCGTTCGTCAGTTTGCAGATCATACCAAAATTGGAGGCGTCAGCGAAGGAGCTTACCTCAGAGTACAATGGGATCCTCATCAGATGGGCCAATGGGCCGAGGAGTGGCAAATGAAGTTTAACTTAGATAAATATGAAGTGCTGCATTTTGGAAAGGCAAATCAGGGCAGGGCTTACACACTTAATGGTAAGGTCCTGGGGAGTGTTGATGAACAAAGAGACCTTGGAGTGAAGCTTTAGAGTTCGTTGAAAGTGGAGTCACAGTTAGGTAGGATAGTGAAGGCGGCATTTGGTATGCTTGCCTTTATTAGTCAGTGCATTGAGTACAGGAGTTAGGTGGTCATGTTGCGGCTGTACAGGACATTAGTTAGGCCACTTTTGGAATACTGTGTGCAATTCTGGTCTCCCTGCCATAGGAAGGATGTTGTGAAACTTGAAAGGGTTCAGAAAAGATTTACAGATGTTGCCAAGGTTGGAGGGTTTGAGCTATAGCGAATGTCTGAGTAGGATCAGAAATTGGCTAGCTGTAAGAAGACAGAGGGTGGTGGTTGACGGGAAATGTTCATCCTGGAGTTCAGTTACTAGTGGTGTACCTCAAAGATCTGTTTTGGGGCCACTGCTGTTTGTCATTTTTATAAATGACCTGGATGAGGGCGTAGAAGGATGGGTTAGTAAATTTGCGGATGACACCAAAGCCGGTGGAGTTGTGGATAGTGCGGAAGGATGTTGCAGGTTACAAAGGGACAGATAGCAGAGCTGGGCTGAGAGGTGGCAAATGGAGTTTAATGCGGAAAAGTGTGAGGTGATTCACTTTGGAAGGAGTAACAGGAATACAGAGTACTGGGCTAATGGTAAGATTCTTGGTTGCGTCGATGAGCAGAGAGACCTCGGTGTCCATGTGCATAGATCCCTGAAAGTTGCCACCCAGGTTGATAGCGTTGTTAAGAAGGCGTACGGTGTGTTAGGTTTTATTGGTAGAGGGATTGAGTTTCGGAGCCATGAGGTCATGTTGCAGCTGTACAAAACTCTGGTGCGACCGCACTTGGAGTATTGCGTACAGTTCTGGTCACCGCATTATAGGAAGGATGTGGAAGCATTGAAAAGGGTGCAGAGGAGATTTACCAGGATGTTACCTGGTATGGAGGGAAGGTCTTATGAGGAAAGGCTGAGGGACTTGAGGCTGTTTTCGTTAGAGAGAAAAAGGTTAGGAGGTAACTTAATAGAGACATACAAGATGATCAGAGGAATAGATAGGGTGGACAGTGGGAGCCTTTTTCCTCGGATGGTGGCTAGCACGAGGGGACATAGCTTTAAATTGAGGGGTGATAGATATAGGACAGATGTCAGAGGTAGGTTCTTTACTCAGAGAGTAGTAAGGGCGTGGAATGCCCTGCCTGCAAAAGTAGTAGACTCGCCAACTTTAAGGGCATTTAAATGGTCATTGGATAAACATATGGATGATAATGGAATAGTTTAGGTTAGATGGGCTTCAGATTGGTTTCACAGGTCGGCGCAACATCGAGGGCTGAAAGGCCTGTACTGCGCTGTAATGTTCTAGGCTGGGGCTATTTTTACTGGAGCATCAGAAGCTGAGGGGTGACATTTTAGAGGTTTATAAAATCATGAGGGACATGGGGAGGATGAATAGACAAGGTCTTCTCCCTGGGGTGGGGGGTCCAAAACTAGGGGATATAGATTTAAGGTGAGAGGGGATAGATTTAAAAGGGACCGAAGGGACAACTTTTTCTTGCAGAGGGTGGTGCGTGTATGGAATGAGCTGCCAGAGGAAGTGGTGGTGGCTGATACAATTAAAACATTTAAAAGGCATCTGGCTTGGAATATGAATAGGAAGGTTTTAGACAGACATGGGCTGAATACTGGCAGACGGGAAGAGATTTATTTAGGATATCTGGTTGGCATGGACGAGTTGGACCAAAGGGTCTGTTTCCATGCTGTACGGCTCTATGACTGACTCTACAGTACACGCTCAAGTACTGCATCAGAAGTGTTGCCTGGAGATTGTGTACAAGTGAACTTTGTTGTTTTCACACTAACAGACCAATGGTAAAGCACCATTGCTGGAGGTTTATCTGTTTACATGGCTTCCAACATAAAAAACTGCATTTATTGTTTATTATTTTCAACGCATTGTCAAATATTAATTTAACTTTTAAAATGCTTTTTCCTTGCATCAATTTTGTCTCACTGTACATTTGAGCTTGGTGCATTACTGTTGAAATCATGTGCTACTTGCCTTGACACAGGATTTGTACAATGTGTGTAAAAAATGCAATCTTAATCCAATGAGAAATAAGAAACCTCGATCACTGAAGGAAATATGACTCCTGTGCTGAAGGTGATGGTGATGAGCTCTCGGTTACTGTGGACGTTGCTTCTACTTTTAGCATTAGTGCCTGGGAGCCTTAGTAACCTGTCAAATTTGACAACCTTTAGAAAACTGATAATTAAAAGGGTGGGAGGGCCAATGTGGCAGGAATGAGAGATTCACAAACACATTTTCTCTTTCAGGTAAGAATTCCCCACCACAGCACAGAAACATCAACACAATCCCCTTCTCCACCTATTAATCATGTTTGATCAATAATCTTACCTGTTCGTACAAATCAATAAGTGTTTTATCAGGCAGCTTCAGTGACTGTATGGCCTGTAATACAGTGTCCCAGTGGCCACTGTTTATATCTGCTACAAAACTCTCAATACTGTCCACCGTGTTTAAAGACACTGTGGTCTCTTCTTGTAGAGTTGCTAAGGTCCGATGCAAATTATTTTCCTTCAAGTACTGCATGATCAGACGGACAACACTATGAATAAAGAAAAGCAACTCTATTAAATATAAAGAGACCAGATTTGTCAAACACATTTATATTACAAATCTTGCACCGTACATACTTCCTAATTTTCCTTTCATAAATGCCTACATCCATACTTCAAAAGAATAAATTTGCACTGTATCTTTTGCATCTTAAAGTATTTTACCTAGCAACTGAATGCTTTTGAAGTATGGTCACTGTTGTCAAATAGGAAACATAGTACCTAATACATTCACAGCAAGCTCCCACAAACAGCAACGTGAGAACCACCTGAAAGGAACATTTACAAAATAAGGCTGTATGTCTTGGAATTTTGGAGGGCCTTCCGAACAGCACTGGAAGTACCTACACCAGATGAACTGAAGTGGTTCAAAAAGGTGGTTCCCTACCATCTGTTTCTCACAGGCAATTAGAGACAGACAACAAATGCAGGCCTTGCCACTACCACAGGCATAACCATGAAATAACTTTTAAAAACAAACATCAAGGGTGATTTGATTTAACTTTAAGACATTAAGGGAAATAAACTATTTCCACTGATTGGGGAGTCTTAGACTAAGGAATACAATGTAAAAATTAGAACTAAACCCCCGAGGAGAAATAAGGAATAATTTCTATACACAAAGGAAGTTAGATGCTTGGAACTTTTTTTTTTCTTTATTCATTCACAGGATGAGGGTGTGACTGGCTAGGCAGCATTTATTGCCCATCCCTAATTGCCAAGAGGACAGTTGAGTGTCAAGTTGAGAGTTCAGGTGTGGGTCTGAAGTCACATGTAGGCCAGACCAGGTAAGGATGGCAGTTTCCTTCCCTAAAAGACATTAGTGAACCAGATGAGTTTTCCCGACAATCGTCAATGGATTCACAGTCATCATTAGACTCTTAATTCCAGATATTTTATTGAATTCAAATTCCACCGTCTGCTGTGGTGGGATTCGAACCCAGGTCCCCAGAACACTATCTGGGTCTCTGGATTACACAAATAACATGATCGATCAATTGACGATTTAAATTCTAAGGCTGATAGATTATTCTTACATAATAAGTGATACGGTGCAAAAACAGGTACATTGGAGTTAGATCAAATCAGCCAAGATCTCACTAAATAGTGGAACAAGCCCAAGGAGGTGAATGGCCTGTCGAGTAATGTCTAATGGCTTTCAGGGCCAAGTAGCCTGCTGTTGTTCCTTGTTCATATATTCATGTGCTGTCAATAGTGGACAGCAGTACCAACAAAACCAGACACTACTCAAGCTCATTTGACAGAAACTGTGCTCTAATCCCATTTTCCAGCTCTTGATTCATAGTCTCGTATACCGTGGCATCCAAGTGCACATCTAAGTAATTCTTAAATTTATCAGGTTTCTGCTTTTAGCACCCTTTCAGGCAGTGAGTACCAGGTTCCCACCACCCCCTGGGTGACTTTTTCTTTCCTCAGCTCCCCTTTAAACCTCTTGCCCCTTACCTTAAATCTATGCCCCCAGTCACTGATCCCTCCAACAAGGGGGAAAGTTCCTCCCTGTCTACCCTATCTTTGGCCCTCAAATTTCCTCCTCAGTTCCAAAGAAAACAATCCCAGTCTATCCAATCTTTCTTCATAACCAAAATTCTCTAGCACAGGCAATACCCTGGTAAGCGTCCTCTAAACCTTTTCCATTGCAATCACATTCCTCCTATAATGTGAATTCCAGAACTGCAAGCAAAACTCTAACTGTGGCTATCTTCCTCACTATTTATCATTCTACCAATTTTCTTTCATCTTCAAACTTAGTAATCCACCTCCTGCATTCAGGTCTAAATTATTTATATGTACCAGAATCAGCAAGGACCCCAATACTGATCACTGCAGAACCCCACTGGACACAGATTTCCAGTCACAAAACACTCACCCACCATCACCTTCTGCTTCCTGCCACTCAGCCAATTCTGGATCCAATTAGCCAAATTTCCTTTGACCCCATTGGCTCTCACCTCCCATGCCGGATCTATCAAAAAGCCTTGTTGGAGTCCAAGTAAACTACCTGCATTCCAAATGCATTGCCCTCAGCAACACACCTAGTTACCTCTTAAAAAAGATGACACAACCTCCCTTAACATAATCATGCTGACTCTTCTTAATTAGTCCCCTGCATCTCCAAGTGCAGATTAATTCTGCATCTCAGAATGATTTCCATTGGTTTCTCCACCACTGAGGCTAGACAAATTGGCCTGTAGTTTCTGGTTTATCCTTTTCCTTCTCATAACACCATAACTGATTTAACAAGACTTACTGGAAGTTACAAGTTCTCCTAGTTTTGCTGCTCAACAGCTAGTACTCTCAAATATATAAATTCCAGGACGAGATGAGGTCCGTACATGGGGTCTTCAGCATAGAAACAGGCCATTTGGCTTATATTAGTGTCCATACTTCACACGAGCCTAGTTCATCTCATCCCATCAACACATACTTATGTTGCTTCCTTGTATTTTATCTAGATTCCCTTTGAAATGCTTCCATATTACTCTTCTCTTCTACCCACACTGTAATTGTAAGTTCCAGATTCTCACCACTTTCGGGCTAAAGAAACCTGTTTTGAACTTGCTATTGTATTTATTATTGATTGTCCTACATTGATATCCCTCTAGTTTTGGCCTCGCCCACAAGGAGGAGCATCCCTCCAAAACCTGGCCTGACAATAATATGGAAAAGTGTGCCAAGTTACAAAGGGAGCAAACAACTCCAGGTTTCTCATTTATGCAAATTCAGATCTACTATATCACCAAACACAGCGACTGATGCAAATTACAAACTGATTAATTTAATTCGCTACACTGGGATATATGTCTTAAATAAATAGTTCGCGTTTTGGAGGCCTTGTCTTTTTTCTCTCTCTGCAGCGCCGCCAACCGCCCCGCGTTCCATTAACGGTCAAGCCCGACTTTCAACTCAAACAGCTTCGCTTACTCCGCCGATTCGATTTCGATCGACATGTTGGCTGGCACCCAGGACGCTGCCTGCTTCCTTCACCCGACAAACAAAAAAAATGGTCCAAAGCAGCAACTCCTGAAGGCCCACTGCTTCCAACAGCGGAGCTTCCGGTTTCCCCAACCATCTACTTCCGGGGTAAGTGACGATGATATCAGATCTCCACCAATCAGTGAAGAAGATCCTGTAACACACCATCAACCCTGAAAGAGGAAGGACATTTGGTTTAAGAGCATAAGGCCTTCAGGAATAGGAGCAGGAGTAGGTTAACTGACCCCTTGAGGCTGCTCAACCATTCAATAGGATTACAATTGATTTAAAACTTCGTATATCCACATTCCTGATCTTTTCCCGTAACCCTTGATTTCACTACTGATCAAGAACACCTATCTCAGCCTAAAATATACACAAGGACACTGTCCCTAGAGGTCTCTGTGGCAAGGAGTTCCAAAGACCCACAACTCTCTGAGAGAAGAAATTCATGCACATCTCAGTCTAAAATTGGCACCACTTAATTCTCAGACTATGCCCACTGGTTCTAGACTATCCCAAGAGGTGAAACATCATCTCAGCATTTACCTTATAAAGCCTCTTAAGAATCCTATATGTTTCAATGAGATCACCTCTCAGCCTTCTAAACTCCAATGAGTAGAGTCCCAACATGTTTAGCTTTTGCACATAAGACAATCCCTCCATTCTGGGAATCATCCTAGTAAACCTCTAAACTGCCTCCAATAAAATAATACCCTTCCTTAAATAAGGGAATCAAAACTGCTCACAGTATTCCAGATGTGGTCTGACCAGCACCTTGTGCAATTGTGGTCGGACTTCCCAACTCATATACCTTAAGCCCTTGAAATAAGTGCCAACATTCCATTAGCCTTCCTGGTTACTTGCTGCAGCTTTACAGTCATACAGCACAGAAACAGACTCTTCAGCCCTTTTTGACCATGCCAACCAGGTTTCCCAAACTGAATCAGTCCCATTTGCCTGCGCTTGGCCCATATCCTTTGAAACCTTTCCAATCCATATACCTGTCCAAATGTCTTTTAAATGTTGTATTGTATCCGCTCTACCACTTCCTCTGGCAGTTCATTCTGTATATGCAACAGTTTCTATGTGAAAAAGTTACCCACTAGGTCTCTTTTAAATCTTTCCCTTCTCACCTTAAACCTTTGCCCTCTGGTTTTGGACTCCCGTATCCTGGGAAAAGACACTGGCTATTCATCTTATCAACACCCCTCATGACTTTATAAAACGCTATAATGTCACGCCTCAGCCTGCTACACTCCAGGGCAGAAAGGTCCCAGCCTATCCAGCCTCTCCTTATAACTCAAACCTTCCAATCTCAGTAACATCCTTGTAAATCTTTTTGCACCCTTTTGAGTTTAATAAAATCCTTGCTTTTGCAGGGTGAACAGAATTGTATGCAGTATTCCAAACGTGACTTTACCAATGTCTTGTACATTCATAACATGACATCCCAACTCCTGTACTCAATGGTCTGACCAATGAGGCAAGCTGCCAAATGCCTACTTCACTATCCTGTCTACCTGTGACACTACTTTCAAGGAACTATGTATCTGCACCCCTAGGTCTCTCTATTTGACAACACTCCCAGGACCCTACTGTTAACTTGTTTGTTATGCCCTGGTTTGTCTTACCAAAATGCAACGTCTCACATTTATCTGAATTAAACTCCATCTGCCATTCCTCGGCACAGTAGCCCAATTAATCAAGATCCTGTTGTAATCATAGATATTCTTCTTAACTGTCCACTATTGCACCAATTTTGGTTTCATCTGCAAACGTACTAATCGTGCCTCCTATATTCTCATCCAAATTGACTATATACTTGAGGAAGATCAGTGGACCCATCACTGATCATTGCAATACACCACTGATCACAGGCCTCCAAGTCTGAACAACAACACTCTACCACCACCCTCTGTCTCCCATCATCAAGTCAATTTTGTAACCAATTGGCGAGCTCTTCCTGGATCCTATATGATCGAACCTCACTAACCAGTCTACCATGTGGAACTTTGCTGAAGGCCCTGCTAAAGACCATAGAGACATTTGCGACTTTGCCTTCATCTACCTTCTTCAAAAAACTCAATCAAGTTTGTGAGATTTCCCAACCACAAAACCATGTTGACTATCCCTAAACCGTCCTAGTTTTTCCAAATGCATGTAGATCCTGTCTCTTAGAATCCCCTCCAACAACTTACAAACCACTGACATTAGGCTCACCCATCTATAGTCCCCTGGCTTTTCCTTGCAGCCATTCTTAAATAATGGCACAATATTATCTACTCTTCAGTCTTCTGGCACCTCACCCATGGCTGTTGGTGATATAAATATCTCCCCTAGGGGCCGTGCAATTTCTTCTGTAGTTTCCCACAATGTCCCAAAATATACTTGATCAGATCCCAGGGATTTATCTATCTTTATGCATTTTAAGACCTCCAGCACCTCCTCTTCTTTTCAAGACATCACTATTTATTTCCCTGAGTTCCCTAGCTTCCATGTCTTTCTCCATAGTAAATACTGCTTTGTGCTTGGTTTCTGTGTTTAGTATACAAGCACCCCAAATCACTTTGAGTTGCAGCTTTCTTCAGTTTTTCTCCATTCAAATAATACTGTTGTTTTGTTCTCCTTTCCAAACTGAATAACTTTACATTTTACTCCATTTGCCACCTTTTTGCCCATTTACTCAAAATATCTGTCAACATCTCTCTGTTAACTGTTTGTATCCCTCTCTCAAACCCACCTTTCCACCTATTTTTTTGATGTCTGCAAATTTGGATACAGCACATTTGCTTCCTTCCTTCAGGTCATTAATATATATTGTAAATATTTGCTGTCCCAGTGCTGATCACCATGAAATCCCACTGATCACAGATCACCAACCTGGAAAAGAATCTGCCATGCCCACTCGCTGTTTCCCACCTATTAACTAATTCTCTAACCATGCCAATATACTGTAGACTCTTATCTTATGACTTAATCTTTTGTGAGATACCTTGTCAAATGCCTTCAGGAAGTTCAAATACGACACATCTACTGGTTCCCTTCTGTCCACTTTGATTTGAGACTTCCCTGAAAAACTCTACTAAATTAGTCAGACATGATTTCCCTTCCACGAAACCAGGCTGACTCTGCTTGATTAGATTATGATGATTGTCACTTAACAGGCCTGGCAAGGGTAGAGAAGGGTAAAATGGATGTAGCAAATATGAGCCAGGAAGACTAGAATGTGAATCATTGGCAGGACTTCTAATTAACAACTCCACCTGTCGTAAAATCCTTTTGATCATCTGCACAATACAATTGTCTCATTAATAACTTGATCTCCCCAATGGGTAATTTATCTCCCACCAACCATCGCAACTATTGTCTAAGATTGATAAATTTTTTTGGCACTAAGTACAGTTGAGATAAAAGTTCTGCAATAATCTTTCTGAATTGTGCAGGAGTCTCAAGAGACCTTTTGGCCTATTTCTATCCATATTTCTCAAGTTATATGTCTGCTGTTTCAATTTGTTCCTGTACTGAGGTAGTGGTGGCCATATTTGTGTTTAGCAGACCTAGTGACAATGGTGTCGAGAAGTCTACAAGTAGCTTGCCATGCAGAAAGATTAAATTTCTGACCTGAGAAACTGGTACAATACACTTGATGAGTTAAGGGAAGCAACAGTGTTTCCCAATCTCTTTCTCACTGTGCTAGCTTGAAGTTATCGTGACCCTTTAGTGAGCAGTGGGTCAGGAGAAGAAGGGTGATTAAAATAGGGAAATTGGCTATCAGTCATTGCTGTCTCAGAGCTCAGGACCCCAAAATTTCAGTTTCCCCCATTTTGTGAACCCCTGTGTTACAGACAGTACAGTAATTGGACAGAATGAATGGATTATGGGCGGTCTTTTGAAGACAGCCATTATGATAATGGTTTTGTAAGTAGGAGTTATCCATTCATGGGTATTTGACTTTTTGGGGAAACAGGAGGGATGAAAACGTAGTAGGGTAGCACTGTTAATAAGAGACGAAATAAGGACAGTTTTGGGAAATGATTTAGGCTCGGATGTTGTAGAGTCCATTTGGGCAGCTTTAAAATACAGCAACAGGAATAGTGTACAGATCCCCAAACAGTATCGCGCTGTGGGAAAGGCTACATAAATCAATAAACAATAGAAGCATGTAAAAAGAACAGAGCAATAAATATGAGCAACTTCAATCTTCATGTTGATTGGGTTAATCAAATTGAAAAGGATAGCTATGACAATGAATTCATAGAGTGCATTAGGGATAGTTTCCCAAAGCAGTATTTCATGGAGCCAACCAGTGAGTAGTCTGTCTTGAATCTGGTAATCGGTAATGAGGCAGGTTTAATAAATGGCCTCAGATTAAAAGACCCCCCGAAGTAGTGATCATAACATGATAGAACTCAATATTCAGTTCTAGAGTGAGAAACTTAGGTCCGAAACAACTGTGTTTAACTTAAATAAAGAGGATTATAATGAAATGAAGATGGAGTTAGCTAAAGTGAACTGGGCAGATAGATTAGCAAGAATGGCAGTAAGCAAGCTGTGACAGATATTTAAGGAACTAATTCATGACTCTCAACAAAAATACATTCCGGTAAGGAGGAAAGATTCTAAGAGAGAGAATAACCAACCATGGCTAACCAAGGATGTTAAGGAGAGCATCAAATTGAAAGAAAAATCATACAAGGAGGCCAAAGACTAGGACAAATTTAGAATCCAGAGAAGTAGGACTAAAAATATAATAAAGACAGAGCAAATTAACTAGCAAGTGTTATAAAAATTGACAGTAAGAGCTTCTTTAAATACATAAAAAGGAATAGAGAAGTCAAAGTGAACATAGTCCCTTCAGAAAATGAATCTGGGGAGACAGTATTAGGGAATAAGGAAATAACAGAGGTGTTAATCAGATAATTAGTATCAGTCTTTATGGTGGAAGACACTTCAAACATCCCATTAGTACTAAAGAATACAGCAGAAGAATTAAGTAACATCACCATCAAAGGCAAACTAAAAATGCTAAAACCAGATAAGTCCCATGGCCCTGATGGGTTGCATCCTAGGATCATAAAAGTGGTAGTTACAGAGATAGTGGATGCATTTGTTGTAATTTTCCAAAAATCATGGAATTT